ATCGTCAAAACTTCCCGCCATGATATGGAATTAATAGCGGAAACGTTCTACACCAACCTTTTCCGTTGCGCAATGCTCGTTCCGGTCCCTAATATACCCGCTGGAGAAAAGTCACCTGGAATTCTTCCGTCGGAGGTTCGAGTTGCGATAGAAAGCATGAAAAGAGGCACAGCTTCAGGACCTGATAATGCCACTGCCGGTTTCCTTAGAGCTGGAGGCCACAATTTATATGTGCTTCTCGCAGATCATATGACAGGCTACCTTCAAAAAGAAAAGTTCCCAGACCAGTGGAGGATGTCGCGCACGGTCATCCTGCCTAAGAAAGGAGACCGAAGGAATCTTCGGAACTATCGTCCCATATGCTTGTTGAGTGTATTCTACAAACTCTTTACGAAGATTATCTTCTTGCGCATATCAGGGAAATTGAATGAGGCGTAACCAGACGAGCAAGCAGGATTTTGAAATGGATTTTGTTGCATGGAGCACATCCAAACCGTGTCCAGGGTCATCGAAGTTTGTCGGAAAGACCACTTGCCTCTAGTCCTAACCGTTGTCGACTATGAAGAAGCGTTTGACAGTGTCGAAACGAATGCAACCCTATCAGTGCTTGTCGAGCAAGGCGTGGATTTGTGGACTCATCCTACATAAGGACTCTTCTGTTCAGTGCCGCACTGCAGTGGAGAATGAAGCCACTCGATTAGGATTAGAAAGACATGCGTTTTGATGGAACATTCCTATCAAACCTTCGTTTTGCCGACGACATCGTCATCTTCTCAAGAAGTACTAGCGAAGCGGGGATGATAATCAATGATTTCAACGAAGCGGGGAAAAGGATCGGAATGCGCATAAATCGAAAGCAGAACCAGTTCATGAAAAACCTATGGTGTGAAGGCAAAAAAATTAAATTGGATGGCTGTCTCCTTGCAGAGACCACCTGGTACATTTACCTTAGGTGTTCAATGAGCATGGAAAACAACAAGAAGAAGGAACTAGATAGAAGAAGGAGAGCAACTTGGGCTGCATTCGGGCCTCTCAAGGAAGCTGCCGACCGACTGAAGGACTTGAAAATCCGCACTCACCTTTTCGATTATGCGGTCCTTGCAGCGCTCCGTTATGCTGCAGAGACGTGGGTTGATACTTCAAGCACGTCAATGCTTCGAATGCTTCGAACTACTCACAGAGCGCTTGGTCGATGTCTTCTGAAATATAACCGGCACTCTCAGTATGTAGCTGGAATGCGAAGCTCTGACCGTCGAAATCTGTCTCATTTTCGAGATCCAGGAGAATATACCCCGACAGCGAAACATAGGTCGGTTGGTCACATGATGAGAAGAACAGAAGACAGATGGACCAAAAGAACAGTAGAGTGGACTCCAAGAGAATGCAAACGTCCTCTTGGACGACCACCTACACGCTGGGCGGACGTGTTCGTAAACAAGGTTAATCAGTTGTACCTGCAGCTGCAGTTGTTTTACACATCGCGATATGAGACTCGCACGCACTACCATGCTCGAACAAGACCGCCACCATGGACTACGATTGAAAGAGTAAGGAACAAATGGCGTATGTGCTGCGGTCCGCACAGCTCGTGACAACGGACCGTCTAAGTATCTAAGTAAGTAAGTAAGTAAGTAAGTAAGCAAGTAAGTATCAAACCATCGCATTCTTCCTGAAAGCCTATTTCTCGCGGAAAAGAGAAAAAGCCGCTAAATCCAAAAAAATGTCCCAACTGGGACTTATTCAATTCATTAGTCGGTTGATAGGAAGATGCCGTTCTGGATAACAACGAAGATGGATACGATCGCCCTGACGTTAGCGGCATGGAAGCTGAGCGTTCCAAACCCAGCAAGATACCTCTGTCTCCAGAACCATTCGGTCTGATACGACAAGGTGGAATGGAGCGAGCTGCAGGCAACCCTTAACTCACGTCCGAAATTGCGAAACAGTGCAGACGAGCGATGAATGAAGATCTTAAAGAGAGAAAAGCTGCATACGCTGGAAAGGCATCCACAAAGCCTACCGAACCTTCTCTAATCATCAAACTAAGATCTATGCACTGCAACGATTATGCGGAACAGCTACCGCACTCAGTAACGTAATCGAGAGAATCACGATTTTTACTAATATCTCTTCAGTAACCAGGTCGCTCTGTCCACATACGAAATAAAAAACAATAGATTTTTTATACCACCAATTCTTCGTTCCTAATTCACACATGCTATGCAGGATGAGGTCTGAACACTTGAATAACTTTTCGCTAGTTCTCATAAACACGCTTTTCTCTGCCCTTCACACGTTACCTGTCTGAATGCAAGATCCGTACTCAGTGGAAGGGCAACAAGAACATGCTGTTGTTTACGAACGGTAACGTCCACGACATCAGCAGCTATCGTCCAGTCTGCTTGCTGTCTCTTGTCTACAAACATTTCATTCGACTCATCCTAAACAGAACCGACAGAACACTGGACGAAAGACGCTTTTGCGAACACACAGGTTTTCGGAAAGCATTTAGTATGATTTGTAGTATCGCGATTATACGCAACACCACTTTGTCTCACTTTCGTCGATTTTAAAGAGGGATTTTGACTCAGCTAAGGTAGAACCACTCATGGAAGCCCTGGACAGCTAGCGACTCCCTACTCGGTATACGAAGATTTTTTGTTAGTTATATAGAAATTTAAAACCAAGATATCACTATCATATAAAGACAACAACATCGACGTCAAAAGAGAGGTTAGTCAAGGCGACACTATCCCGCCAAAATTATTTACCGGCACACTCGAGAATATCATGCGTATATTGGAATAGGGTAGCAAGGGATTGAAAGTCGAGGGTGGGCAATTAGATCATCTCCGCTTTGTTAATGATACTTTTCTTATAACACCAAATATAAACCAAGAGGGATGAATGCATGCCAATTTTGATAAAGCCTGTGGAACGATTGCTCTTCAACTAAATCTCACAAAAACGATATTCACGAAAAACGGATTAGTCTCGTGTGCACCATTTACGCTCAACGGCACGAATATCTCCGAATGCTACAGTTATATCTATCTAGGTCGGGAAATCAATATAATAAACGACCTAGCTCCAAAGCTGAGCGGAAGGACACAAGAGGCTTGGTGAGCTTTCAAGAGCATCGACCATGTAGTGAAGAGAACCAAGAACATTCTATTCCGTGCGCAACTTTTCGACTCAACGGTACTTCCTACGTTAACGTTTGCGTCAGAAACCTGGTCGCTGCGTAAGCAGGATAAAAGATCATACAGTTTTATTGAAGGCGCTGTCAAAAAGACGGTTCTAGGAGTGTCCCGCATCGCACAAGTGAGGAAAGGGATCCGAAACTCTTGCGCCTGCGTCAACGATCAAAAAATCGAGGATGCCGTTCTCTACGTTAAACAGTCGAGGATAATATGAGCTGGACACGTAATGAGTATGAACGACAGCCGTTGAACAATAATCGTTATTGACTGGATTCCTCGAGAAGTCGAACCCACTGCTGAAAGGGCAGTGAGCCGTGGTCAGAGATTTTCACGACAATCCTGGAATAAAGATATTAGGTGAGGAGGCCGTAGAGCGAGGAGAACCCACTGGGCTACTAAAGCACCCGACAGTGAAAAAAGAAGAAGTGTTCGGCATCACAAAGATACAGTTAAGCAACCACCCTTAAAACAGCACTTCATTATTGCGTGGTAACTGGTTGTGCACTTCTTCTGCGTTTTAAAGCAGTATCTCTACTGCTGAGCTTTGTAGAAGCCACGAAATAGCGAAATATTTGTGAATGCTTCGTTGCTCTAGTTGATACAGCTGAGTCCGTGGTTGAAGTATTTGGGTGACCCGAACTCGCAGTTAATTCACTGCCAAGATGGAATTTCTTCTATAGATCTCTGGTGTCGCAAGTTTTCTTCTGTTTTGATTCCTTATTTTGCCCTAATTACATTTCCAGTGAAATATTTCTCCTTTCCTTAGTGCACTATTACTGCCACTCAAAATGCATGCGAGTTTTCTGCCTGCATTAAAGAATTTAATCTTGGAATTCATCGCCTTTTTACGGTGTCATTCTCCATTCAAAATCATCTTACTGTTAGATGTGGGAACTGTACGTTTTTGCTAGTTATTCCCACGTAAATCAAAGGACCGACTTTCTATAAACGTCGACATAAATAGTCGATATATTTATTTATACGCTCTTATGAACTAATCTTTTTGAGTTGATGTGAGGTTGCTATAGTTGCCGTTGTTGTTGTTGCTGTTGCCGTTGATGTAGATTGTTTCATAACTGATTTCATATGAATGAATAAACTTCTATGGTGCTTCTTTATTCGGGCAACAATCTCACAAAAGCGTTGAATTTTTTGGTTCATTTCTCGCCGCAATCATTTGTGCTTCTAGCTCTAAGCCGTGCTAATTATTGAGAGCTTGGACCATCGGCGTGGAAGGCTGGTGTGCCATCATGATGATTTTCCTCAGCCTTTTTCTAGCCCGTCAGTGCCTTCAGGCAATACACAGTCAAATGAAAGTAATGCCCTTGCTTTGCATCATTTCATAGTTGTCATTNGTTCCTATTTCCATTGCTTCATTTCATGTGGTATTGCTGACGATAATTTTAAGAATCTCATAAAGTTGAGAGGTCCACTCCTGTCGCACGTAATCTTTTCTGTTTGCGACCGCTTTTTGTTATCGTTTGTTAAGAGAAGAAAGACCAAATGATTTTGCCCAATCTTTTTCTAACTTCATTTGCATGAAATGAGATGATGAAGACTGTGACGAAAATTACTTCTGATTCTTGAGACCCATGCAACTCTTCGTTTATCTGCGGGTTCCAAGCAAAGTGTTTCTTAATGATACAAACAGAATCAAATGCTTTTCAGATTTCATTTTCTCCTTCGAATATTTTATGACACACAAAATAAACAACTAAGTATACAAAGAAATAAAAACCTTAATCAAAATAAACAAAGATATCGAGGAGTAAATAGGAAGATGAAAAACATGACTGATTAGATAGGATTCCAGCGTTCCCCCTTTGAACTCTTCAGTTTTTTGCTGATAACGTTCAGCTGAGTTGAGATCTGCTGCACACTGGGTCGTCGACTGGCCGTCGAGTTGAGACATTTCTTGATGACCTTCTCTACTACGCATTCTGCCAATTCGTAATTCACATCTGAAATCACGCAGATTCACACCATTTCGCTTTTGCCAAGCGACCCTGAAAGACGGTGATATGTCACATGGCCAGAAAATCTAGTGTAAAGAGAGCCCGCGTGGCATTTATTCACGAAGTCGAGCATTCTGCTTAAAGCTAGTGATTACTGGGTGCCGAGAACTGACTCGAAGGCCTATTTTCGACTAGCAACTACAAAACTTATCATCACACTTTTAAATGCTTCTCTAAGGCTATTTCTCAATTTGCTCCTTAGACAGTTCGAGGCATCATAGCTCTTAAATTTAGCGCTATGAAAAGAGGAAAAAGTCAGCCTGGAAATCTAAGTAACTTGAAAAAAAGGATGTGAAAAATACCAACCTTCAGGTGAAGGCTTGGAACCATTTTCAAGCACAGCTTGTAGAACTTGGCCCAAACCGTAAGAAGCGGTTAGCGGGGTAAGCTGACGAGTCCACTCTACTTCCGGAGCCACTCGGGTGAAGTCACTAAGTTGACGAGTCCGCTCCCCTTCCGGAGTCATTCGGGTGAAATCACCGTCATCAATAGTAACGTATTCCCTGAAATGGGCGTTTCGTCGCAGAAAACTATTAAGAAACCATAGTTTACCAAGAACGCTGATTTTCATTTAAAGTTATTAATCGCGTCTAAGATAAACCATATTTTGCAACCATTTTCAACGTTTCCTTAATTTCTTAATGGTCTTTACGTTTTTATGCGCTAGTTCAATAAGATTTGTTACGATACACAGAAGCGACAAATTACCAACTGAGGAGTGTTCTATAGAGGTGCCCCTCATTATAGCGGGATAGGAAGTCGACCCAGACGAAGACTAAACTGAGTGAAC